CGGCTTGACTCAAGCTGAGTGTTTGAAGTTATTATTCAAAAATAACCTTTTCCTGGGCGTTTTGTTCAAGCGAAGTAGCAACAAAAGAGCTTGAAAAGGCACCTGCACGAGTGCGGTACTGCAGCTGGAGTTGGTGTGAAATTACACGGTTAGCGTTTGCTTCCGTACAGTGCTTTTAAGACTTTGGCAAAAAGTAGGGAAGTGCAATTTTCAGACAAAAATAAAGGAAAAATTAAAAGTTGTTTAAGATCTCCGGGGTGCTTTTCATAGATCAGCTTCAGCTGAATGCCATCTTTGGTCAGGTTGGTGCTGATGCAGCTCTCAGGGGTGAACTAAGACAGTACGTGGCAATGGATGGAAGAAGGGGTGAGGAGAACCACCACTTTTTGTTACCCTGGCTGGAGTGTGTATCTGGCCCTAGGAAAAGCCAATGTGTTGGTACTGGATGCAGGAGCTTTAGACCTCTGAGTGAGAAAGACTATTGGTGGCATTCATATTCCCTTTCTGCTTGAGAATGCATAACTCTGAGAATTTCCTGAAAAACCTGTTACACTCTTCAAAATCCAAGGAGAAGTTAGTACTGATCAGAAAGATCTTGGCCTCTCTTTAGTTCTGTATCAAAGGCAGTTCCAGTGCTGTTGCTTAGGTGGCTTGTGTGGAATATGGAAGAATATGCAGAATATGGAAGGACTGACCAAGCTATGCAAAAGTGAAGTTTAAAGTTACAGATGTGAGGTTGTGTGTAAGGACAGACCCATCACAGAATGGTAGAGGTTGGGAAGGACCCTCTGAAGCTCATCTAGTGCAACTGTGTGGTTGCAGCTTTCCAAATGGAAGCATGGTGATCCAGTTCTCTCCTGGGCCATACTGCAGCTGTGTCACAGTCCCAGTGGAAACTGCAGTGTGGGTTTGCAGTTCCCTGGTTGCTCTAGCTGCCCAGAAGATGTTTTGGAGGCCACTGGTCTTTGGCATTCAGGCCAAGATTGCTGGTAAATGTGCTCTGTGTTTGTATGAGTGCTATAGATTGGGATAACTTGTGTTCTGAGGAGCTTTTAACAGTGGGGATCCTTTTGCTTGCTTTTATGGTCACCTTGAGGAAAGAATAAGAAACGTTTTTCATAGGTCTTCATATGTTAATTAGGAAAGTTCATTAAGTTTTGAAGACAATTATATGTGTAGTGTAAAGTGTCTGCCCTGCAGCATTAGTGATGTGATCATCACTGGGGGAGTTAATACAGGTTTTGTCTATGTTTGTATATAATTTATTTTCTCATTACTATCTTTTTTTCTTTATTTTTTTTTAATTGTCAGTGTTTCATTAAAGCTGTTATAGAGGGCTTTTTTCAACCCAAAAGTCTCTCTCCCTTATTCCCTTTCACATTCTGGCAAAGGAGAGGGGTCTGTCATTTGTTTAGTGGCCAGCCCAGCCTCAGCCCATGACATCTTGTTTAAAACTGTCTTTGCCTGGCTGCTGAGTGACAACTGTAATTGTTCTGGATAATGTACTTCAGTATTTCTGGGATTCTTGTAAATTAGAGTTGGTCAAAAATGTGTGCCTTCTTTTCTTGAAGGGAAAAGTAAGAGATGTAATTGGAGACTTAAAGAAATGAGGAGTGTCCTAGGCTAGGATCAGGTAGTAGTGGTAAGACTCAGCAGGAGTGTGGAAGTGACAGCTGTACCTCACAGGACTTGTTCTCTAGACCCCTCGCTGGCTTCCTTGCCCTTCTCTGGACAAGCTCCAGCACCTCAACGTTCTCCTTGTAGTGAGGGGCCCAAAACCAAACCCAGTGTTAAAGGTGTGACCTCACCAGTGCCCAGTACAGGGAGACAACCACTTCCTTGCTCCTGCTGGCCACACTGTTCTGAAACAAATGAGGATCATAGAATTGTTTAGGTTGGAAAAGACCTTTAAGATGATAGAGTCCAACCATTAACCTAACTCTGCCAAGTCCACTGCTAAACCATGTCCCTAAGCACCATATCTACGTGACTTCTAAACACATCCAGGGATGGTGGTTCATCCAGAACTGGAAAAAATAAAGGTTCTGCCTCCTCAACAGTTTTATAATTGTATTAAAAAACCAACCAAACAAATGCCTTTGGCCTTCTTGGCCACATGGGCATAGTGCTGGCTCATATTTGGGTGGCTGTCCACCAACATTCCCATGTCTGGATGTATCTCTTCATCTGCTTTAGCAGAGGAGACCACCTGTATGAGAAACTAGCTAAGAAAGGCAGGTTTTGTGCTGAAGAAGGCAAGTCTGATACTGATTAATATACACCAGTTTAGGTGAGGGGTCCCAGGAGGTATTGACCAGGAGGAAATTCTTCAACTCTTTGGCCTAATACAAGGACAAGAAAATGAGGGTGGTAAAAACTAAGTGTGGTGGTCTCCAGGCAGAGGTGTCCAGAAGGACTCCATAAGATTGAACGTTCAGGTGTGATAAACCAAATTACTTTAAATCTTCAGGGCAAGCTTAAGTTCTAGGATTGCCCAAGGAAGTCTGTGAATTAACAGTATCTGTAGTTTTTAACTCATTTTTATTTTAAAAAAACCCAACCCTAGTAAAACTTGCAGGTAACTTTTGAGATGTATCACTGTTAATAACTGAGAAAAGAGGGAGCTGTAGACCTGCCATCCTCCAGCAAAATACACAGCAGGGTGAAAAGTCCTGCAAAGAATGGCAGGGTTTGTGGGTAATAGTGAGGGATAAAAAAAGAATGGTGGCAGAATTAATGTAGTTTTGTGGGAAATAGGTGTTTGTCCCCAGAAGAGAGGCTTTTGGTGATTTCCTAATAATGGCATAATACTAGTGTGTAACACTTTACTTCTTTATAATACAAGTTTGGGCTCTAAGTATTATCAATGCAGTCAAATCAATAGATCTCAAAAGGGGTTTTTAGCCCTCTTTGATCTCTATGTGTTTCTTGATAGAATTTCCAGATGTTATAAAATGAATGATAAGTAATTATTGGAGTAATTCTAACATTTCAGTTGCTTAGCAAATGTGATAAAAACAGAGACATGCTTCTGTGTAAGGTCATATCCTGATTTGCTGGGATATTTAGGGTTGTTGTGGTAAACAATGTAATCTCTAGAGAGTGATGATGTAACTAGGAAGGTGACTGTTTTCAGGCACAGAAAGCACCTCAGCAGAATATTTATCATGACTAGTAGTAGCTAAAAGTGATGCAAGGTTTGAAAATGGCTTAAAATAGCAAACTAAATACCAGTATTTGTCTTTCTTTTTAAACTTACTGTGGATAGAAATTAATAAGGACCAAAGGATAAATACCTGTGCAGTGGTGTCTAGAATCCATCTGCCTTCTGTTTCCAAATTCAGAAAGAAGCATTTGTGGCAGGAGCCCTGAGGAGACTTGCAGAGGTGTGTGTTTGATAGCACACTGCTCCAAACCTCTGGTGCTCTAATCCAGAGCTGGATTTGTACGTGCTAGGGATGCCAAGGAGAAAATACTGGGCAGCAATCTCTTCTTCTTCACAGCAGATTAGATTGTCAGGCTGGCTAGTTCCCTCTGTTGACATTCATACTTGCACAGATTAAAGATTTTCAGGTTTTCCTGAAAGATATTTGCATTTAAGCTTAAACTTTTGCATTTATTGGATCATTTTGAACCAGAAAAATGTTTCCTGAAACAATCTGATACTTTCTTTTGGTAATGACAGCAGGAGCTGATAGAAACTCTGCACTCAGCTAAATGGGGACAGTGGAAGAGGAGCCAAGTACAAATGAGTAGTTCTAGCAGTAGATAGTGATACCCCCTAAATCTATCAATTTCATTGTCCCTAAAGAAAGGGATTTTACTTTTTGCTACACTGTAGAGACTGATTCAGTTTGATTACTTGTTCAGATTGCTAAGGAATGAGAAAAATAAAATAGTCTGTCTTAGTTCTAAAAAAGTGTATGTACTGCAGTCAAATTCTTGCTAGGTTTGTGGCCTGGCAAGATAAGGGAACAGGCTACAAGCACTTCCACAGGGACAACAGGAAGGGGAAGAGAGCCTGGGGCAGGACTGTGTACTAAGAAATTTTTCAAATTAAGATGTAGTACTTTACTCAAATACTGTAGTGACAAGACTTTATGATGATCTTTATTTCTTTTTATCTTATTGTGTTTTTCTTTTGTAGATGAAGTCTGGAGTAAAACTGAAATAGTCCTGATGACATCCTTGCCAACAATATTTTAAATTTTCAAACTTTCAGTTCTTCAGGTAACCAGGATGCATTTGCAGTGGGACTGGCTGTGTGTGGGTGTCCTGATCATCAGCTCAGTGGCTACAGAACCTGAAAATGGAGAACCTCTGGATGCAGATGTTGAAGTGGAGGATTTTGACATACAGTCTCAAGAAGCTGATGTTGACAGAGATAAACCTTCCTTGGAGGTAAGATTACAGAAGTCTTTAGTTAAAGCTTGTTTTATTATCAGCTATGTAGTTATAATTAGCAGAGAATTAGCAGAGAAACCAGTGGGCAAACACATCTAGTAAGAGCAATTTAACGTGCAGCTGACAAGTGACTGGGTCTCAAACCCACCAGTCTGAGTTTCTTATTTACTGTATGAGACAGGTAAGACAAACTTCATGAATGATTGCTCTGCACCACAGTGTAAAATCAGATCTCCTGCTTGGGGTGGGTAGTCGTGGAAGAAGGTTTTTTGTTAGTTTGTGTTTCAGTCTGGATACAGAACCTTTTGTTGTAAGTTATCACATGCCATTTCTGGAGAAGAAAGCAGAAAGCATCTTGGTCTTACTGGGGGTTTGACTTCAGACTGGTGTCTTGATTTCATCAGTCCCAGCTGCCTTTTGAGACTGTGTTTATTCCTAGGAAATCTTTCTGCATTTCTTATGCTAGACTTCATAATAGATGTGGGCAGTAGTATTAAATTATGTTTTCAGCCTTTTGGGCTTACTGTGTAGCCTAACTGTAACGAGTCAGGTAGGCAGGAAAACAGAAGAATGGAAGACATGTATAGATATAAACAGGGATCCTCCCTAAGCAGAGAGCTGGTGCAAGCTTGGTACCTTTTCTGGGGTTTTGTGAGAGGAGGGGTACAACAGCACTTCAGGTATGAAGGAATTTTTCACCTTCAGCTGTGAAATCACTCCCTGTTGGAGGGGCATGAAGGAACTGCAGAGGTTGGGGGGGTGTGGAGGGGCAGAGGGAATTGTGCTGTGCAACAAGCCCACTCTGGTGGTCTGTGTGGTGGGCTGTGGGAGGTGTGATATGTGCTGCAAATGGAGTTGTGATTTATGTTAGAGCCTGAGCCTGTGCCTGTGCCTGTCGTAGGTTGTGTACCAGACCCCAAAGCCAACCGGGGAAGTGTATTTCACAGAAACTTTTGATGAAGTCATGTCTGGGTAAGTTTATACCTTACAATTACAAAGTTTCACTTTCAGCAGTTTAACTTAGAGTGGTGGGACTTGTTTCGTGTTCATTTTGCTGCTAGGATCTTTACAGAAATCAGTTTTTACAGGGGTTAGATTTGGGAAGGCTGGTAATGCTTGCTCCAGGTACACCATAGTGTTAAGCTGGACAGTTAACTTCAGGTATGTTGCTGTTTTTTGTGTTTTAAGGAAGATTTTAATTGACTCTGGGTTTAGGCACATTAAGAAAAAATAAAGATACAACCAATTGAGTTTAAGCAGCTGCAAAGTGAAGGGCATAGACATTACACTACAGTAGCAAACTCTTCCTCTTCACATACATTTAGGTATGTGTAAGAAAGCAATGCCTTCAGCATTACAAAGTCTATTCATGAAGACTTTCTGTCAGATTGGTTATTAATTTATTGTATTGCTTCCCATACTCAATCAGAATTAGGTATTTAGGAGACTACTGAAACATTCCTAGCTAGTTTGACCTTACTGCACTGAAATTTTAGAAAAATCTTCAGGTTTATCTCAACAATTCTTGCACACAAGACAGAAATCTCTGGCTTTTCTTAGAAGTTTTCTTCCAACAGGCTGGCAGTGTAAGGTGTAACTTTGGGTGACCTGTGTTGCTCAGTAATGAGCTCTGTATTCTGAGCTGCAGTCAGTTGTCACCAATGCACTGTCAATAAGGGTGAATATAATATGTTACACTCTATCTCCAGAATCAACTTAAAATGTGCTTTTTAATTTTTTTAATTTTAACTTTAAAAGCATTTAAAATGTGAAAGTAAGCCTCTGCTTTTAATGACAAATCAGATACTGGTATACTTTTTTTTTCTCCTGTATTATTTGATGCAGTTGAGCAAAAGAACTCTCTCTTGGTGTGTGAACAATCATGAAAAAAGGTGGGTTTGTATGTTACTGCAATTGATAGAACAAGACTTAACTCCTGTGAAGAGCCAGAGAGAGGTGTGAAAGGAGATGCAGTATGATACACTCATTATGGTAGATCTTAAAGCTGCCTGTTTTTTGCTTCCTGTGAGAAGCCAGATATCCAGCTGCTGTAGGAGTGAGGCTGTACCATCATAAGACACACGTCTTCTGAGGAGGCACCATTCAAACAGTAAACAAAATAACAGAGTACCAGGCACCAGCAGCTTCTCCAAGACTGAATCTCACTCCCTTTTTCTCAATTGTTTATAGACTGTTCTGTTCTTTGGAGTTACAGGCAACTTTAGGCCACTGAACATTGGTCTGTTGTTACTTACATTATGTTCTTCCATATTTTCTTATTTTTGTTACAGAAATTATCAAATGTAGAAGGAAAACAAATTAAGCTCTTGCCATCAGTGTATCACTTGTCTTCATTATGTGTCAGTTGTGGATATTAAGAAATGCAATACAAAAGCAGTACTAATGAAAAATGATTGAGTAGAACAGGGAATAACAGTTGTTTAAAAATAACCAACCAAACAACTGAAAACCTTGATTAACAAATGCAAAAACTTTACTGGGATACTTGAATGATATCATTCATCCCAATTTCTAGCTCAGCAAGATCTGTTCAAAGATTAGTTTGTCTTTCTGCTAAATCTAATACTAAAAGCTTTAGCTGTAATGCTTGGGATGCTTTGGTCTACCTGTGTGTAGCTTAAGTAAGAATAACAGGTATGGAATGGAGATGTGTGAGAAAGTAAGAAGCATGTTGCCTTTCTTCCCTAAAACTGGGGAAAAGAGTGTATGTAAATTGACTGGGTGAATGACCAGACTGGAGCAGCTTTGAGAATGGGCCTTGACAGTCTCCTGTGTGACCTGTAGAGATGTTTTCTTTCCTCATTGGTCTTTCTCCTGGGAGACATAGGATCTAGTTTGCTCTTTGCACTGTGAAGCTTTTGCAGCATCTCTGTTAACAGTGAAGGAATCTGACTGACATTCAGCCCAAAGAGTTGAAGTATTCATCCATGAAATATTGCCTTGAGAGGGTGGTACAGAATGAATGACAATAGTTCTTTACAGAATCAATCATGAGAGTGTGGTATTGTAGCTGATACAGTGAAGAGTTCAGCAACTCTGTTGGCTTAAGATATTTCTGTGCATGGCTTGGGGTAGAACCACTATGACCAGATAAGAGTGGACTGAGGGGTTTTTTCCCCATTTTTTTCCCCTCCTCTCCTCTTTCTTCCTCCAAATGCACACCTGTGAGTAGGGGATGTGCATATCTTTTTGGTAACTAATTATGTGTGTTTGGCAGAGCTTAAATTATGTATATTCTTACATACTATTCTTATGTTCTGCCAAACTCAACTTGTGTATAAAACTGAAGTTTATTCAGTGTAATTTAATTACTTTAAAGTTATAATTGTGTGTTCATTTACAGTCTTAGGAAGTATTTTGAGAGGATATATTAGACTAACCTGTTTTAATTTTTCTTTTCATATTCTTTGAACTACATAAAGTTCATAAATCATAAACTAGATAAATCATCCTCACAGGTTCACAGACTAGAAGTGGAAGCTGGGGGTTTTTTTGCTTGTTAATACAGCTTTGCATGGATAGTTCAATGACAAGCACTTTTTGTTTTAGGTGGGTGTTGTCTAAAACCAAGAAAGAAGACACAGATGATAATATTGCAAAATATGATGGTAAGAGGTTTTAATATTTATTTGCTTCTGCTCTTACATCAAATGAAAACAATTAATGTTAATAGGAAGTGGTAGGGAAATATGATTTGTAGGACTGTGGTGTGCAAAGCAGTACAGAAGAGATGTTTTTAGGCTTAGCAGTTATCATCACTGGGAAAAATAAAGAAGATGCAAAGGAGATGTCCATGCAGCTGAGATGCTTATAACAAGTGATGTATCTCTGATCACTTGGCCTCATATTAGATAGAAATTGTCTCTAATGTCAAAACAGTCATATTTGCTTAAAGACACCCAGACAATTAAATTTGTTAACAAAGCCTGTGGTGAAAGGATTTTTTGAACTATTTTCCAATTCAGGTTTTTTTTTTTTCATTATTGTTTTGCTTGGCATTATTGCTTTGTCTTAATGTTCAGGAAGGAATGCAGCTGAAGAGGAGGGAATTTTCCTCCCCCCTCTTCAGAAGACAAGAAGAAAGGAGGGGTTTGTTGCTGACATACAGACCTGCCCTTCCTTAATGACTTTCCACAAATGAACTTCAGTTGAGTAGAAGTAAATGGCTCAGATTTCAGTTTATGAATCTTCTCTACAACATGTGCTGAACCACTCATTATGTTTCCTTCCTTTTTGTCATGTTCACACAGGCTTTTTTCAAGATTAAAGTGAATTTTAAAAGTAATCTCTTTTTGTGCTGGTTGTTCCTGGGAGAAAAATCAGTGAATCTTGTGCTGCAAATCTCTGACAAAATTTAGCTGCCCTTTTAGAATTCTTCTTTGGATGCTGCCCACATGTGCAATCAACTGTATTTTTCCTAAACTTGGAGAATTTATAATCTTTTCTTTTTAAAGCTGTAGGCTTGCTTGTTTGTCATTAAGATCAACTCTGATCATTCTTAGAAAGGCTCTGGGGGAGGGAAGCTTCATCTCCCATGTAATTAGATTTGACCTGAAAGATTCTAATTCTATATAAGCAGGAGGGGAAGAACCATGCAGGTGTCCAGCTTGCAGAGTGCTTTGTGACTAGTGCTTTTTATGTGACAATCATAGAAATCAATCAACAATCTGGAGAAATATTTTATATTTTTCTAGGCATTGTGGGATGCCACAGTCTAAAGATTCAGATCTACAATGTTAATGTTTTCTTGTTGATTTCTGTATATTTGAGAAGAGCAAAGAATAACATATATTTTACTCATGTCACCTTTAAAATATGGAAAGCTAGAATTATCTCAATTGGCTAAAAATAATAACCTTTTGGGTGAAATGAGGGAGTGGGCTTTTTTGAGTAGGACCATGTTTCCTCAAAGTGTAGACATCTCTTTAATTATCTGCCAGTTTCTTAAGGCTGAAATATTTTTACAATAAAACTAGTTAACTACAAACCTGAGCTTTGAAACAGTCTCTGTGTTAGCAGTGCAGGCAACAGGCTTGAGTAAAATGACATGTCTTAAATGTATTGATCCTTCCATACAATATTGCAGTTAAACAGAAATCCAGTGGATACTTGCACAGGTTTTGTAATTAAATTTTGTGATGTACACATTTAGCATACAATGGTTTTAGATTTTGCTATTTGTTTTTATTGGTTTGTGGTGGGTGATGGTAAGGATGTGGTTCTTACTGTCAGGGTTCCAGAGCACTGGGACAGGCTCTCCAGGGAGCTTGTGGAGTCTCCTTCCCTGCAGACTTTCCCATGTGACCTGCCCTAGACTGGATGGCCCTGCTCTGGCAGGGGGGTTGGACTTGATGATCTCCAGAGGTCCCTTCCAACCCCTGACATTCTGTGATTCCCTACTTTGGAACTTTGGGGTCCATGGCTGGCTTTTTCTTTAGTTGGAATATTTTTGTTTTACACATGAAACAGATTTTGGAGATTTTCTTTCTTTTGGCTGTAACAGTTCTGAAACGAAGATTGGTGGGTTTTGTTTGGGGTTTTTTTTGCTGCTGTAGAAACAGCTGCTCAGGGAAGGAGGAAAGAAAAAGCTTGTCACTTCTTGTTGTAACACTTTCTGCACTATTTTTTTCCAAAGCTTGCTTTCTTCTTTCTTATCTGAGCCAGAACACTGGGTTAGGTGGATCTTTGGCATGACTTGGTTTTTGTTTTATCATTGAACTGTGGAGCTGGAATTCTAGTGGTTTCTAGTGCTTGAAAACTGCTGGTTAAAACACTCTGTCACTGATTTGATAGAAAGATGGGAGCAGCAAATTTGTGTACTGTGAATGGTTTTTTGTTGGATTGGAGTGCCACAGAGTAATTAGTTTGGAGAAGTGTAAGCTGGACTTGAGTAATGTTTTGTTTCCATAGTACAATTATCAATAATGAATTGGATGATTGTTTTATCTTTTTTGACATCAGACATCAAGATTTCTTCCATACTTGGGCAACTGGTCTTTATTTGCTGTTAACTCTTTGCTTTCAACAGGATTATTATTCCTGTACTTCAACCTAATTTTTTCAAAGGCTCTCTGTGTGTCTTTTAGGAAGATGGGAAGTAGAAGAGCTGAAAGAGAACACAGTGCCTGGAGACAGAGGATTAGTGTTAAAATCAGTGGCAAAGCATCATGCAATATCAGCTATGCTAACAAAACCCTTTATTTTTGATGATAAACCTTTGATTGTTCAGTAAGTAACCCTTCAATTTTTTTACTTAATATTTAGTACTGTTAAAATATTTTAGCTAAGAAAGTCATGTGAATCCCTGTACAAAAATACTTCCATATGGCACTGACCTGTCATATCCAGAGCTGTCAGAAGGTAAGTATGAATGATTTAGTAATGAAGGAAGATTGTAATACACGTGTCAAGAAGTGATATTTAAACTCTTTTGAAGTATTTTTGGGCAGAAATCTTGTATTTTACAAGACTGTTGAAGAAGCTCATTAATTTTCAGTCTTATCTGAAAGATCTAAATCATGTGTAGTTTGGGTGCAGTGTTTTCCCACTTACAGAATACTTCTGTGTAGCTCCTTCACTTCTACATTTATGTGTTGGTTGACACCACCTTGAAATTTTTCTTCCTGGTGGTACCAACTGTAGCATTTACTTCTGTGGTGGTTTTTGACTGACATCACTACTGTGTTTGTGTGGCAGTTAAAACCTTTTGGTCCCATAAAAGTGTTTTGACAGTAGTGACTAATACACAGTCTTAATGTGTTCATCATTAGAAGTGCAGGTTAGAAGTTCATTTGTATTTGTCTTATACTTGGAATTCCTTTTTTTAAACTTGCCCTTTGCCCAGGTATGAAGTGAACTTTCAGGATGGCATTGACTGTGGTGGTGCATACATTAAACTTCTCTCCAGGAGTGATGACTTGAATCTGGTATGTCCTCTTACTTAACATTTGCTATCAGCTGTTCATTTGAGAAAGGCATAATTGTTCTTGTGAAATGTCAGTAAAAATGAATTCCTAATGCATCCTAAATTATTAATAGCTTCCCAGACGTTTAAGGAGGAGATAGGGCAAAATAATATACAAATAACTGATTATATATACACAAAAACTTTGGAGTTGTGCATTTTTTTTTTACTGGTGGACTATTTGATAATGTTATTGTTGTCATAAGTTCCATTTATTTTAATGAAACTTATAGACAGTCTGAAACTAAAATAAAAAGCAGGCTGTTAAGATCTATATTCACCCAAATCTCAGTGTGAATTTCAGAAGGTTAGAGTGAAGAGTTTGCTGTGGTTGACATACTCCTTAGTTCTGCACTAAGTTCTTAATTCTTATATCCAGGATAAAGGACTTTTGTATCTGTTTCAACTGACTTTCTGCAATAAGAGAAGCCCTAGGACCTCAACTTGGAACTTGTGAAACACTTTTTTACTGCATAGCACACAGCATGGCCTCTTGGAAAGGGCTGTGACTGGGATTTGGAAGCTGAATGTGATGGAGAATCTCTGTTCCCAGGGGAAGGTCTGAGTTGTGATTTGTGGCCCAGGACCTTGTGCAACAGAAATGTTGGGTTGACAGTGTAGGGCTGGCTGATCATACAACAGCTGCTGCAGCTGCTTTGGTGGGAGCTGCTGCTTTTGGTACACAGCAGTGGTTACAGAATAGGACTATGCTTGGAAGGACTGGTGTGGACTCAAAATGTTACATCATGAGCTAGGAGGAACTTGCATTGACTCAGCAGTACAAACTTAAGTGATAAGGGTACTTCAGATCCTGAAGCAGGTTGCTGTGGCCACTCAGGAGCTGACTGTCCTAACTGCTGCAGGTTTGTGCTAATTGGGGTGTTGAGCCAACATTCAGTAGTGCAGTGACAAATTTGCAAATCCATCACTGTCACAACCTGTGTAGGCTATAGAAGTGAAGGGGTTTGAGATGCATCAGGCTGCAGCATTTGCTCACCAAGATTTGGTAAGCTAGAAAGACAAGCTTGTGGAAGAAACAGCAGGGAAAAGTCTAGAAAAAACCTGTAATGGGAGCATGGGCAGAATTCGTCTTTTCCTCTCTGGGTAAGGTTTTTTTTTTTTGCTGCCTTGACCCAAGACCCATAACCTTGACTTTGAGTCCTGAGGAGAACAGCAGTGAAGTGTGTTGCCCTGTGTGTGCAGCATGCAGAGGAGATGGCTCAGGACAGGCTCAAGCCAGTGCTTCATCTGACCTGCAAAGCAGTGGTCAGGAAAAGCCCTTTAACAGTGGGACTCTTAATGAGATAATACATCTGCAAGGGTCTAGGAGATGGTGACACCCACAAGAAGTTGCTTGTAAGCATTTCTAAGATGTATTAATAAAAGCTTCAATGCAACTTAGTGCTCTTCCTTTTTCCTCAAATTTATATGCCAGTGTGTGTTTTATGCTCCAATAACTTGACTACTAGTAGGAAAACAAATAGAGGCATGACATTTTTCATAATGAAAAGTTGTGTAAATTGTGGAACTGGAGTTTTACATGTTAAAAGATGGTATGAGACCAAGCTCAATTACACATGGAACTTAAATTCTCCAGTATTTGTCACCTTACTAGAAGGTAAACCAGAAGAAAGCAAATCCAAAAGTTGCCTGTTTGTGGCCTGGCTCACAATTCATCCCATACTGTTTTGGGAATTTCACTGGCTGGGTGATGAGATAAATTGAAAGACTAAATTTTCTCTTTTATTTATTTTTTTTTTTAAAGTTTGAAATTGGACTTGTCTCAGTGCTGTGTATATGCTTATTGATATTAGAATAGTCCATTAATTATGTTCATTCTTATCAGTGACATTTTCCAAAGACAGTTGAATATTGTAAAAGGGATCAGACTTCAAATACATGCACTTCTGTAGAGCATAAAGTGAAAATATTTTACTTCACAAACAAAAAAATGTAAAAAGTAGTATTTTCAAGGTTGATTATGATTGTTGTTGTTTAATGTGGGGCAAGAAGACTGATGAAAATACTGGACAATAATATCCTTGGGGTTTATCTTTATTGAGATTAAAATGGTGATGAAGAACAGGAAGTAGTTCCCTTCCATCTCTCAGTGTAATGTTTGTAGGAGGATATAGATATTTGGGTGTTTTGATTTGTGACTGGCAATTCTACTTGACATAAGGACTAAATAAATACATTCATCTTCCTTGAAGAGGCTTAAGTGGTCCCTGTGGTTAGTTCATTCCCTGGGAACAGAGAACCCAGCAGCCCATGAGGACTGTTCAGCTCCTTTCATAACCACCCCACCCTCTTTCAGTTACCTTTTAGAAAAAGGCAGCTGTGCTGTGTGCTACAGGCAAAGAAGTACCCAAATGGCTTCATCCAGTGTGCAGTATAACACATGCTCAGCTTTCTTGCTTCCACAGGAATACTTTTTTGACAAAACACCTTATACTATTATGTTTGGACCAGATAAATGTGGAGAAGATTACAAACTGCACTTTATCATCAGACATAAGAATCCTAAAACTGGAGAATATGATGAAAAACATGCAAAACGCCCTGATGTGGACCTAAAAAAATTCTACTTGGACAAGAAGACACATCTATATACTCTTGGTATTGTTTAATTCTTCTGAGTTCAAATTGGAAGGGAGAGATTAAAAATGTGTTTATGTCCACTGAAGCTTTGCATTTAAGTCTGCTTTTTTTTTTGTTTGTAATAGTCTGTTAAATTCCAGGGGGTGGTTGCTTAATGATTTGGGCTTATATGATTAATCACTAGGCTTACATGATTTAATGACTGAGCTTTAACTCAAGGACTTAAAAGTGGTGTTCAAGTGCTGCTGTTTAATATTCAATTACAGGAAAAAAAACCATGCCAGCCTTTAGTGTGAAGAATTGATTAACACTTTCAGTACTTATTACCATAAAAATAGTTTTGTTAAGCAAATTAAAAGACACACAATTGTCTGATATTCTAGGAAGGTGTCAGAGTTCACAGGTATTGAGTTAAATCTGCAGTGTCTCCATGATAAAATCTCCACAAGTTGAGAGTTCTCTCTAACACCTGCACCAGCATGCACAAACAGACACATTGCCCTGTTCTCTGGAGATGAATGAGAACATGGGAACCCTTTCTGGGTTTTAAAATAGAATATTGTGGTGTGCCACAGCAGACTTTCACTTTTAGCTAACAGGAACAAGTGAAACAAAACACTGGTCTTGTGGCTGTTGTAAAGGAATGCCTGTGTTCCTGTAACTGGGCTACTGATTACAAATTAGGATTAAAGATACTTAAATTGCATTGATTCTGATTGTTCAAATAAACTCTGTAGAGCTGTGTGATTCCAATGCATTCTGTCACTGATAACAGAAGATTTATAATCAATTCTTTGTGTTGTTTCTAAACTGATATGGGGGGTTTACTTTTTACATTTATGAATATTTTAATATTGTTGATAATTTTTAGGCTGCAAGAGGTTTGTCAGATGTTACCAAACTGTTGTTATAAAACTTACTTCATTTTACAAAACCATCATAAAAGGAAAATGGTATTTACTTCAAATGAGTAAGCTTTGTTGTGTTGAATGGACATTTGAATAGACTTGTTAAGCACTTAGAAATGTGCTCACTAGTTACTCTAAATGGATCTGGATACAAAGTCTGGTTTTGAGCCTGACACTGCTCAGCTCTGTGGCTCTGGCTTCTCAGTTACACTTGCTAAAATACTTCAATATTTGAAGAGAATTTCCTCTATTCTGGCAGTGTGAGAGAAATGGCTGTCAGAGATTTGAATCTGAGGAGAAAATACTGCTTTGATAATCTTTCAGCTGGGTTACTGACACAGTTCTAGAGTTTACATGCTTTCAGGTGTGAAACTGTAATTTGGTAGCAGAGATTCTGCCTTTGGGGGCAGAAGTTTGTCTTTAATTGTCCATGTTTTTAAATAAAGCCAAAGTTTAGCCAAGTGGTGGGTTTTTGATAAACCTATTAGAACCTGCTTGGATGTGTTTCAGCCATTGAATTTACTGGAGGTTTCAGTTTTGGGGGCCTGATGCTGGTTGTACATCCCCACAGGAGTAACTGATGTTTTGTGTCCAGATCCAGCACTGAATGGGGAGTCTGGCTCCTGCTCTGCCACTGAGGATCCTGTTTGTTGTTATTTCTCCAAGTCTGTGCTTATTATATAGGTTTTGGTTAAAGATATGTGTTAAATGAATGCTTTCCTTTTTTTTTTTTT